TTGGGATCTAGATCATTGAGAAAGATTTCTGCAATTGCTGCGGAGAAGTACATGTCGACAATAGTAGTCTTACAATCGTATGATTCTCCAGAATCTATGTAATTGATAGAAATTTCTTTCACCCCATTATTTGACTCAACATTTCCCAAAACTATGGAGTCAGGGTGTTTCGATATCCCAGGATCAGAATTTGGATGCACCGTTGATCCAGGTTGTGGATTTGGTCCTGATGTTGGATTTTTATCCACTATTGGGTGTCTACCAACTTGAGGTTGGCTTGGATTTACTGATTTGGAGGATCTAGCCCTCGATATCCTCGGACGCTTACTTGTAGCATTATCCTTAGCAGCGGCCGTACTTCTCCCCCTCTTCTTTGGAAGTGGGAGTTGAATGGTTTTTATTAGTACCTCTACTCTTTCGGGCGCATTGCGAGCAGGATAAGAGGATTTAGTGACACCCTTATAATCAGTAAATGCTTCTAGCAGGTTATTTGCAATATGTTGCAAGTTTATGATTTTCTGAACTTGTTGTTCAGTCTCTAGAGTACGTGGATCTGAGGGGGGAATGCCTTGGGCATTCCAGATGATTTCTTGGCATTCGTTTTGATACTTGAAGTCTCCCCCTAATGCCAGGAAATGGTCCTCATTAAATATACAGACAGCGTATCGGGCCGTGAATAAGTCCCCTGTAAGAGGCTCGAGGTACTTAATAATTGATGTAGATTGATATCCCACATAGATACCAAGTTTCCTATGTGGACACATAGACATACGCTTAGGCAGTGAGATCGGTACGTATACAGCGCAACCGAATTTTCGCAGATGGGAAATATTTGGCATATTCCCACGTACTAATTGCAATGGGGAGACTACATGATATGCAGTTGATCGCAATTGAATTAAGTCAGCAGCGTGTAAGACTGCATGATCCCAACATGAAGTTGGTAGATTGCAATTTTGTAATAACGGTCTTGCAATGAGTTTAATTCTCTTAATAAGAGATTCTGCTAAACCATTTTGTGTATGGACATATAGGACAGAGTACTGAACTTGAATTCCCAAAGCCATACAATAATCGTTGAAAGCCTTTGAGAAAAATTCAGCAGCATTGTCCATTCGAATTGATTAAATTTGATGTTCAGGATGATGTGCTCTAAGTCTAATAACTTGAACAATAATTTTTGTAAATATATGGTTACGTGTGGACAAAAGACACACATGAGACCATCGAGTACATGCATCTATTAGAACCATGAAGTACCTGAACGGTCCAGACGTTGGTTGTATGGGGCGACAAATATCTCCTTGAATGTGTTCAAGAAAGTTTAGTGGCTTATTTTGGATCTTAACGGGCGATGGTCGTACGATCAATTTCCCTGTAGCGCATGAAGTGCACATAAAATCTGAAGATTTTAGGAATTTAGCAGTATTTAACTCATGACCATTAGAATTGTTGATAATTTTTCGCATCATCCCTATACCAGGATGACCAAGGCGTTCATGCCAAATTTTGAATGCGTCAACATTCTGAAAAATTACCTTGTACGCAATATGCGGTACGGGTTTGATGTATGTGTAGTACAATCCGGACAGAAAAGAGGGAATTTTCTCAACAATTCATTTGCCATATCCGCTATTTTTAGTAACGAGGAGAATTTCCTCATTATTGTCATCACGGATTTCAATATGAAAACCATTTTGACGGATATCTCTATAACTTAATAAGGTACGCTTTGAATCGGGATACAATAATGCATCCTCAATTGTAATTTGGGTACTCATGGGGAGTACAATAGTGGCACGACCAGAGCCAACTATTGTAGCATCGCGCCCGGCGATTGTCAAAACATTTTCTTGTCTTTTTGTAAGAGTTAAGAAATATTTTGTTTCTCTAAGTATAGAATTAGTGGTATCACTGTCCACTAGGCATAATTCCTTCTCTATCAGATTGACTCCCGTAGAAACTATATATAAATAAAGAATTTGATATGAAACTCTTTGATAATATATAGAATACATACTTTATTTATTAAATATCAAATATATTCATTACATTTATTGGATATTCAAACCAAATAGTGATGACATTATTAAATATTTACGACACATAGGACATGAATTATTTTAACTATTATAATCACCGGGACCTAAAGACACTAGAATCTAAGGGATTGGGAGCCTATTCAAAGTCTCTAAATATGTCGTTGGATGCATATTCCACGATCATATTCCCCGTATCAACAAGATCCTCGCCTCCTCGTATGTATCAACAAGATCCTCGCCTCCTCGTATGTTGTTGTTGCTTGGTTCCATTGGAACTTGTTGCGAACAACCAGCCTCATACCTGGTGGTGTCAGGTCGAATGTTGAAGTGGGCTTCATACTTCTGTTCTGGTGTAGCACGTCCGCGACTCACAGACTTTAAGTAGAGATTAACAAGATGACTTGGGGTACGACATTTCTTCATAGTATGGCTATAACAACCACACTTTTGACAGACAGGTTTGTCATTCCTGTTTTTGGAAATGTTCTTACCCTTGTTGGGAACACGAGTTTGAGATTTCTTATTGCGTCTGCGTTGTTTTTTACCTTTCTTAGGATTTCCCTGAGGATGGGTCTTAGAAAGTCCACCATCAAATTTGGGTTTATTCTGAGTGTAAACATATACTTCAGGCAATGAAGCAGACCCTACGGGTCGTTGCTTGTACGGATGAGATCATCTGTTGAATAAATAGATGTCTGTTGGCAGACAGGCACCGTTTCGTAACAGGAATGTCACCACTCGAATGAAATGCGTGAGCAGGTCGTGAGGAACATTGCACGGGATCAAAGACACAAGCCAACAACCAAGCTAATTTGCCACTGAACCCATACAAATCCAAAATTCATGTGAACAAACAGGGTAAGTATCAAGATCCATGCCACTGATAACTGGTACGACTACAAAACTCACTGTGAACAAACAGGGCAAGTATCAAGATCCAGGGTCTCCGTACTTCCAGAGTAGGCGGGCCTCAACGAGAAAATAAGGTAACTTGTCAGGTATCAACAGGGTATACAACACTCAAGGGTGCAAAAATTCAGGTACCCTCAAATAAAATATGTGAAGTACTTCTGGACGAGTATATGGGTGTTAGTCACAGCAATGAATGGAGAAAGAGTGACAAAACAACCAAATCTGAAGCTTTATTTGACAGAAATCAAAACTTAACCTAGCTCGATCCTGGTTCAGTTTAATTTCTGTCATAGATTCTAAACTGTTAGTCCCACCAATTTAGAGCTGCAATCGAACATGTAGCCCCTTTGCCAAACAAAAACTTGCAGCAGATCAGCCCATAAACAATTAACCAGTGTGTAACAGTGTTGGAGCCCTAGGTTTCAAGTCCAACAACCAGTTTGTTCGCTTGGTCGTAAACGATCGTGGATTACAAGGCACAACAGTATTTTTCTCTCACACCAAACCAGTCAGCAGTAATAATCCACGATCGTTTCAGCCGAAACGATCAGGCTGCTTGAAGCCTAATCAACATAGACAAAACAAAGAGTTAGAGGGCAGAACAGTACAAGTAAGCTCACGCTTTTGTTCTGCTAGAATACTGTGCTTCCATGAACCAGCAATACAGTTTTAAACGTTTTGTTGTTTACACTTGCACATGTCGGTATAACTAGATTATACAAAATTTCTCAAAGGGCTATCCAAAATAAAGATATTCTTCCGACTATATTTCAAATTAATGTTTCAGCCAATGTCAAGCACACAACAGGAGAACAGAACACAACTTAGATGAAACAGTGGATACTATGCTTATTAGGTGCAACAAATACCTAGCGGCACAGCATACATATTCCTTAAGTGGCACAGGCATCATGTGATTCACAGTAGCACCACAGCATAGATATCCTAAGGCTTTGTTTGGCTGCACGCAAATCCACCCCAATCCACGTGGTTTGGGAGGGAGGTTGCGTGCAGCCAAACAAGCCCTAAAGGGGCACAGGACACAGCTTAAACAGAGTGAAGAGAAGCACAGATTTTTCAAGCTAGAATCGAAGTCTATTTCGACTCACTAATGCACCAAAACATAGCAGAACCACACCATATTGAAAACAAGGTGAGCTTGGCAACTAGGAGTAGGTGCATCCTACAGAAACAAAAATCACTTGTGCACAACAGTTCCATATACTCCCCAGTCCCAGAAAGAATGTAATTCTGGAACAGTATCATATTGGGACAGTTCGCTGGTCTGGTTTGACCAGCCAGCCGGCTGCTCCCCCTCTCAGTTTACTATATTTTTCTCTCACAATAATTCAGCCGGAACAGTGTTTTTCAGCCAAGTTTCAGACCAGCGAACGGTACCATTTTAGTATATCAACTTTGACTAATTATAGATAAAAAAGTATAAATATTATAATATAAAATAAATACTATTAGATTAATAACGAAATGTATTTTTATAATAAATTAATTTAGAGTCACAAAATGTGAATATTATTTACCAGAAACTTTGTCAATTCGTAACCACTCAAACCCATAGTTGCATTCTTTTAGAGGCAGAGACAGTACATCAAGAAAGCAGGGCATGATGAAAGGATTGGACACTGATATCTCGATCAATGCAACATTGGTCCCGTTTCTCTTCGTATAAAAAAAAAAAAGCCGAAACACTGTTTCCGGCGGATTTGTTCCAAGAGAAAAACCTTGTTACGGTTGAAAAATCAAGCTGAAAAAGATGGATTATAAGCGAACAGAGCCATTTCCATTTGCACACAGTAACTAACAAGAGGCTTAATAAAAGTTTGTTTCAGTGTGGAACATGATCCTTATCGAAGCCAACCAAAATCTTCTAACACAGTGAATGGGCTACAAAATCAGTTATTCATCAAACAGCCCTCTCTCATACACCCGTAACCCCTCTCTGTCTTGCTCTACGGATCAACCCAAGGAGAGATCAAATAACTGGACGCAACTCAATGACAAGGAATCTAACCGGAGAGGAGAGAGCTCTCATGTCTGGCGGCGAAGTCGCTTCCGGAGCTTGCGGAGCTTGTGCTTGTTCATCTTACGCTTGCGCTTCTTCTTCACGCTGTCCGCCCACACCTCCGCGGCCCCTCCGCCGACCTCCTCCCATGCGGGGGCACCCCCAACCGGATCTAGGCACGGGTGTATCTGGAGGCCCGGGTGGAAGGAGAAGAGGGCGTCGCGGAGAATCCCGGGTGGCGTTTGGGCCGGCGTCGACGCCGGGAGTGGAGTAGCAGGGGCCGGGGTGGGGCCCTGCTGCAGGTGCGGCGTGAGGCGGGAGAGGAGCGTGTTAAAGGGCAGCGGCGGCGGGTCGCGGAGGCGGAGGAGCAGCCGACGGAGCGGCGCGGCGGCGGCGGCCATGGGGGACGTGCGAGGAGCGGAGGGTTTCCTTGGGAATGGAGGCTGGCTGGGCTGGGCTGATGCTTGGTTCCATTGTGTTGTTGGTCTGCTTGGTTCCTCAGGTCCGGTTGGACCCGGAGCTTGTGGTGCGTCCTGGGCTCTGGCCCGGCTTGCTACGGTTCTATATTTTAATTTCTCGTTTTTTTACAACTGTGAAATTTCAGGTGTATGCATTTGAACGATTTTGACATTGATTGAATCCAAGTGAGAAATTTCAGGTTCCACTCAAACAAAAAGTGAGAAATTTCAGGTGTATGTATATTTCAGTTCGATATTTTAATTTCTTTGTTCTCTTACAAATGCGGGTAGGGATGAAAACAAAACAAATACTTCTAATTTTCGTCCATCCCGAAAGACAGAAAGAGTTTAAACCCTACTTCAATAATCCGTATATGAATTACGACATTTAATACTCATATCATATACGAATCTAAATACTAAAAGTTAGATTTCTGATACATATACGACATAGATATCAATATCGGACATGCTAGCGCGGTAGCGCTCGAACGTCTGATCCAGGTGCTAGCGTCCGAATGCTCCCCGCACAGGGAACGAATGAGCACCTAGCGCGTCAGGCTCGCGAGGGAGTGAACCAATAGTGGTCCCGCACAGCACCGAATGTCGCCCACGCCGCTATGGATGTCGTCCACGCCGCCGGCCGCTTCCCACGCGCATCCCATGTGCAACACCTGATCTATTTTTAAACATCCAGATGCAACAGTTGCAACATACAAAGGAAGACAGATGAAACATTTAAAACAAGCGTTCGAAACACTTGCAAAAACGCCTGAAAAACATTTGAAAACCATTGCAAACATATGCAATATCCACATAAAACATTTGCAAACATACATATGAAACACTTGAAAACACTTCAAACATATGATTGCAACATGTATGTATATGCAACATCTAGATCTACTTTTGCAACATCCATACAAAACACTTACAACATTCGTATGGAACAGACAAAACATTTGGAACATACACTTGAAACATACGTGTATAGCCATTACAACATGTGTAACATTCCGATCTATTTTTGCAACATTGATATACAAACACTTGCAACATACCTCAAAAACATCCGAAAACACTTGATACATACTATTGCAACATGCGCTTTCATCGTAGCATTTGTTTGCTGCTCGGACGAATGGAGGCTCGTCGATACGGAGCTCGACGCCGGCACGGAGCTCGAAGCCACGGAGTGGCACGGAGGTCGTCGGTGTGGAGCTCGGTGGCGACACAGACCTCGGCAGGGGCAGGGGCAGGCGGATGGAGCACGGCCGCGACAGAAGGTGCGAGTCCGGGAGCAAGCTAGCGAGCGCCTAGCGCGTTAGGCTCGCCCTGCGTGGCGCGGGCGAGGACAAGGTCCATCCCGCAAGCAGGGCGATGCGGACGGGGACAACATGGGCAAGTGTGAGGTTCGTCGGACGGACAATATTGGACATATCTAACACTATCCGTATTGGACTATGAATCCAGAAACAAACGACTATCCGTATTCAGTACCATAATATCCGTTCATATCCGGTCGAGTTTTATCCCTAACTGCGGGCTGCGGGCACGCAACAAGTGGAAATCGGGCATAACAAGCTTAGAAAGAATATAGGTTTACCTTGAAATTCAAGCATGCAGATTTATCCTTTTTTAACAATAAAATCGATCTAGCTGTGATAGCCACTAGTACTAAATGTCAGTAAATGGGATTCTCTAAAAATGTCGCATATCATCGGGCCATTGGCTAGCTTCCTCTAGCATGTGGGTCCATATGTGTCATTGATACGGTGTTTGTATGTTTTGGGGCCACCGCCGGCTGGCAGCTACAAGTGTATGTGTCGTGAACATGATCTCGCCCAGAAAGCAGAAGAGCCAAATGCACATACACAGTATTTTCTATGAACAGATGTTAGACAAAATTTCGAATTGCATCGACAAATTGAGCTAGGTGCACCATAACAGTAGCCTACAATACATGAACTTTTGAACACAACAAATACAAACAAAATAGTAGTGAAGAGTTCCCTCTTCACAATAAGGCGGGACGATAGAGCTCAGCAACACAAGAAAAGAGAATGGAGGGTCTAAACCAGTATCAGACCATGCTATGATGCTCCTATGGAACAAGCCTGCAGTCCACCCCATACAGCCTCCTTAGAAACTTCGCCGCGGTCGCTCCTCTGCAACATTCACGCGCAAGGCGCGCCCATCCAAACTCTGTACAACCCAGAATAAGAAGTTATATTTTGGATGTACGAAAAGCTTAATTTATTGGTCATGGTATAGGAAAAGGAAAAAGACAGAATCACTCCACAGCTTCACTGTGATACTGATTATTTCAGTACGACCAAAGTTACTGTAGTTTTGCAAATGGCAGGAATCGAGACTGACCTGTCCATCAAGGGCAGCAATAGCATCATCCAATTCGTCCTGTGTTGCCATAGTCACAAAACCAAATCCCCGCGAACGCCCAGATTCTCGGTCATAGACAACTCTGGCTTCAACTACTTTACCATGCTCGCTGAACAACTGCACCAATCTAGAATCATCCACTTGCCAAGGCAGGTTGCCAACATAAATCCTGAGAGAAGGCCCAGATTGTCTGGGTGGTCTCTCCACACGAGAGCCTCTAGGAGCTGCTTTATTTACAGTCAGAAACCTTCCATTGACATCCTGTCCACATAAACATGTAATCAGCTTTGCTGCAAGTGAAGGAATCCATATAAGGTAGAATCAAGGAAATCTCACTATATATGTAGCTGTTCTTACTAATGTAGAAATGGATTCCTTCACTTTTGCACACATAGCGTATAGATGAAGTAAATTTGTATAAAGTACTGAAGTTCACATGCAACAAAGTGTTCACTTGAACAGTACAAACACTAAAATTTATGTCCAAAATCAAACTGCTTATTGGCATGTGCAATGGTCACCCCATAGGGGGCGCCAAGAGCACTTCTCTAGCTCCTCATTCCAAGCCATTGGGAACCTAATAAAAGATTCTTAGGTTTGGCTCGAGTTGAAGCTTCTATGCTATAAACATTGAAAACTATATTTTCCAACACTGGTCACTGGTCGTAGGAGCAGCTGTTGGAAGACTGGAAACAGTTGGAGAAAGTGCTGACTCTTCTACTTATGACTTGTAGGTCCTACAAGAGGAACTAGCACATTGCACGGATTTTGACCAAGGATAAATTTGTTAGTGTGTCAGTTCTAGCCTCCCAAACCGCTCATGCTCTAAGAATGAGAACAGGATACATGAGCTGAAGCATATTCGTATGGGAACTAGGAACAGCATTCCATGCATAACGCAAGTGTGCAAATTAGTAGCTCACCATTATGCAGATGGCATAAGCAAACAGGCTAACTTAATCATAACTAAACCCAAAATATGTCAAAAACCAAAAAAAGCTCCATCAAGTCATCAAATACACTCACATAGCGATGGAGCATCTCCACAGCCTTCTCAGCCTCCTCGACAGTGCTCATAGTGACAAACCCAAATCCACGACTTCGGTCTGTTTCTCTGTTGTAAATGACCTGCACAGCGACAAAGTTCATTTAAGAACAAATGAGCAAGCTCCTTTTTGCAATCCAGGGGCAACAGGATCACATATATCCCCAAAAGAGCAAACAATGGTATCCTTGAACTATCATCTAACTATATCACTAAAATATCTGACCACACGGACATCAAAAACTGGCAAACACTAGCTAGGAAGCCACCTCAATAGCATGGAGAGGTAAATAAAGGGGGTCATTCTTTATAAACAACAAATATATATATATGTGTGTGCAGTGTCCTCGGATGAAAATTTGTTTTGAAAGCAATGCAACATTGAGAACCCACCCTTATGTTTAACACAGTGTAATAAGGAGTTAATCAATCACTAAGCTAAAGATGTAATTCTGATAAGAACCTGTAATCACACCACCTCATCACACAATAGGCATATCTCATGAAGCAATACCACATTGCAAAGTGTGCAGGAGTAAGTTCACAAATCAGGCAAGTAGACTATAGCAGATGCATGCCTGCACCCTTACAACTTCAACTGCGCATTTACCACTCACCGCACCCAAAAACCAAAAAAAAAAAAAAAAAAGCAGAAGAAGCGCAGAAATGACTACAGTCAGTGCGATGCCACTACAGTGCCTTGGTGCAGTAAGTTGAGGCGAATTTGTTCCGTGGCAAGGAAGAGTAGGATAAGGAGGAGGCAGTAGCTACTAGCGTTGAGGAGACAGACGTCACCTCTGCGACCTCGACGACGCCGGCCTGCTCGAAGAGCTGCGCGAGGCGCTCGCTGTCGACGTCATAGGGCAGGTTGCCGACGTAGACCTTGGCCTCCTCGGGCGGCTCGACATACTCCCCGACCTCCTCCTCCTCGACGGCGGCTGAGGCCTCTACGGCATCGTCCTCCACCAGCTCATCCGGCCCCTCCTCTTCCTCCGGCGCGAACGCCTCCTCCTCCTCCTCCTGCTCCGACTCGGCCGGCTCCGCGTAGTCAACCCCGACGGAGTCGGAGGCGGAGGCGGCGAGCGGGGCGAGCAGCAGGCGGCGTGCGGAGCGGAGGCGGAGCAGGCGTCGGGGCAGCGCCGGCGCGAGGAGGACGAGGAAGGGAGAGGAAGGGGCGGGGCTGGGTTTGGGGAGGGAGGCGGCAGCGAGGGCGCGGAGGGACACCGCGACGGAGGAGGCCATGGTGGCGCCGGGCGGGGTGGCCTGGAAGGAAGGAATGGGAGGAGAGGACAAGGGGATAAGAGGGGGAGGGAGGAACGAGCCGCGACCGCGAGAGGATTTTGGGTGGACGGACAGTGGAGGTGGTCGGGTGGACGAGGACGAGGAGTTGCTCGAGGGGCCGACAGGATATTCTGGGGGCTTCCCACGTTTCACTCAAAAAGATGGGCTGTTCTCTCCTGCGATATGGGCTGGGCCGGTATCGGTGTAGAGAAAATTCTAAACGTCTATAAATTATTCTTATCTACGTTTGTATTGATCGAAATCAAAGTTAGATGAATCAGACTTAGTGTAGTTGTTGTTTGGATATAGGAATAAGAATTATTTTCAATAAACAGGTTTTGTATGGAGGTCTAGATAAACAAGTTTTAAGTTGTTATTTAGTTAAAACGTGCATATAGATCACCATACAGATCACTTTGTTTAGATCACTTTTTTTTTTTTGAAACTTTGTTTAGATCACTTTGGTTTTATCCTTTCTCAACCAAACAAGATTTTAGGTTGTCGTGGTCTCAAACGTGTTAACAAAATCTTGTTGTTTTGATAAAACTAAAGATCCAAATAACTCCTTAGGATAAAACTAAAGCGATTTATATATTATATATTACTGTATTATAAAACGGAGTAGAAGAGTGCAGAAGCCAACATAGTTACATCATGGTAAACAGAATAATATATACAGCCACGGAAAAATTTAAACGGTTTCATAGCAGCCTATCCCCAATGGATTAATTATGATCTCAATAATAATTGATCAATGTGATGTCGATCCCAGCACAATTCTGGGCTGTGAGCTGGCTGAAATCCAAGCAGGTAGTAGCAAGGAGGACTGCACAACGTAGACCTGCTCCTCCCCTTCTGTTTGGCGATGCACCTGCGCTGCAAGCATCAGAAACTAAGTTCCATCAGTTAACTACTCATACCTGATACATAGAGTTCAGCAGCGAGACTACTCCAATTCAGATCCCTCCTCTTATAATTCAGTAGTAAGAGTCTAAAGCACGGTTGAGGGTAAGCATATCAGCATCAAAATGACACTGGACTGGAAGTTTATTCCTAAGATTAAACTCCTCCTGATCTTTTCGTGCAGTGAAACAAATAGCACTGAAAATGGTAGCAAGACTAGACTAGAAGAAACACATATTGCCTACCGAGACAGGCAATTCTACTCCTTTTTCAGTAGATTATACCCTCTCTGTTTTTAAGAGGGGCATTTCTGCTTTTCTCATGGCAGCATATAACCTAAAATGGTAGATCAATTCTGCTTCCTGTAATGTGCACAAGTCACTCCAAGTTTTATTTCCAGCCTCAAGCGTGATCAATCTGGTAACCTACCTGGGAATTTGCTGTCAGCATATGGCTCGCAGGCTCAGCAAGGTGGAGGCAAAGCTGTTGTTGTAGGCGCCCTTGTCATCAGCTCACTGAAGAAAACGCCACTGAAATAATCAAGTTCCATAACAACAAGCAACTCTAATAGCAGAACAACATCTAAACGCATCTGTACCTAATGTTCTGGCTGATTATCGCATCATGCTGGGCTGGTATCTTCATCAGCGCTTCCAACGTGAATTCATCCTCCTTGTCGCCTTCTGACATTTCCCTGGACATAATTTCGGTGAAATGCACAAACTGCAAGGAACACGCACAGGCACAAAAGGAGGATATATCAAACTAAGCACATGACTGAAATTTAAGAATAAGAACGCGGGAGCTTGAAGCTTCCAGGATTGTGTCATCAAAAAATCAATTAGATATGAATTGATATCAGCTGATTTAGATGTGTCAGAAACGGCTATTTTATGGATGACGTCAGCAGACAACGTTAATGGGCTATACTTGAGTGCCGCAAGGAATATGTGTCGGACTCTACAAATAAGAAAAATTGGGGTCTAGGTTATTATTAAGTTAGGAAGTTTTCTTGTATTCCAAGAATTTTAATGAGTCGTATTTGAGTAGTATTCATGTTTAGGTCCCGAGTATAAATATTAGACCCTGGTTATTGTAAAAAAAAAAGCCGAACACTCAATCAATACAATCTTTTTGGCTTTCGTCATCACATGAGTAGGAATATTGTAGATCTCAGCGAGTTCTTCAGTAAACAGGGCTGCATCGACTGATCGACTTTCAGCTTGCTTGTGAGTACCGTCACGACTTGTATTGTGTTTGTAAAACTGCATCAGCTGATTAATCTTTTATGAGCCATAATATAAGTTAGTTATCAATCTGTATCATCGTTTGTAAGGCTGCATTAGCTGATTGATCTCTTACGAATCATAATATAGATCAAAGCTATCGATCTTGTGTTAAATAACCTATTGTTTCATACAATATCACCAGTTATCAAATCTGCTAAGATTAGTAAGATTTTTCTTTCTGATTTTGGTTGATTCACTAGTTATCGATCTTGCTATAATTAATGTTTTATTAATTATAACAAAATCACTCGATTAAGATAGAGATAGATCGGCATCATATCATCTTAATTGGTCGTCCTTGAATCTGGTCACGCTTCAAATCGTATAATTGATGGCTTAATTCCGCTAGATCGACTGGTTTATCTCTATTCCAGTCAAACATAGTATGCATCCAAAGACATGTTTTAATCTTGAATAAACTCACTAGTTAATGAGATCTAATCTAATGACACTATCATAGCTGCATCGATCTAGTCGAACCTAACTGGTAAGACTTTAGATTAGAAATTACGATTAGTGGTCTTGCTCATGATTAAGATATGTACTCTGTTTGTTTGCTATGAATGCATCGACTATTTTAGCCGATTTGCCTATACTCACGCATATATATCATGTTTTTCATGAATCTGTCAACATATAGATGGTTTTATATATTTTTTGGCTTTAGTTTGTTATCATTATCATAGCTGCATCGATCCGATCGAACCTCGCTGTTGATGATAATAAATTAGATTCAAATTGTTTGTAGATTCATTTATATTAGACAGTCGATTTGTTCGCATGTTATATTCTTTTCATCAAATATCGGCTCGACGCTTTATATCGGTCATGTTCCATTTAGCCGATGATGTTTTCGGATGTTCCATGAGCATCGATTATTTTGATTCGTATTATTATCGTTTAATATTAGCCGATAATCCTTGATTTAAAGTTCTTCATTTCATGGATACGCTGAATATCGACTATTTAGTCGATAGCCTCATTGAATCGGCTATCTCGCCGTACGGTTGGAACTGTTTGGTACAATACCGATATGTTCCACTTTAAATTACTGATAAGATTTTCTCTCATTGTCAATTGCAGGTTAAATTGATTGGCACGTCGTTGGGTTTTTAGAATCGGCTGGTTCTGTGTTGAAGTCAAGCAGATTTCTGGTTTCGTTCCACTCAGATCTTCCGACTTGCTGTGTGTTGATCATATTACCACATTTTTTATGTAACACATCCTCTTCTTGAAACTGCCGCCGGTTATTGTTGCAGTGAATCAGATCATCCCATGGTCCATCGCCTACTCCAACAAGCACAATCGAAAGAGGGAAATCACTGCAGAAAGCAATAAACACATCAGGTTTCTTTTCAAGAAAACTAAGAACAAGTTGCTTTGTCAAAATCTGCCTATCAATAAAATTAGTTTGGCTTCGTATCCTGTTCCTAGTATAACCTGGCATGTATGAGAGCCTGAACAGTCCTTTCTTCTAGGTAATTTTCTGATCTTGCTTCTTCCGAGTTGTTCGCATAAGGAGCACTAGAAGACGTTGGGACCTGGAGCAATACAAGCAAACAAGGCCTTAGCAAAAGCAGAGGATCAATCAGATAAGTGTAACACTATGAATGAATCTTGAAGTGACAATCCATGTGCTTCTGTACATTGTTTAGTTTGTTGCTGCAGCATGAATATTGATGTTTCTTATCTACAGAAAATACAAAGAGAAAAAATTGCAAGAGGGAAAAACAGAGTAGTCATACATTGATATACCTCAAACCAATCTACTTTTGCGGTACAAATTATTCATTCAACAGAAAATGGAGTTCATACCTGCCCGTCAGCTATTATCAGTAGGATGTGATACTGATAGCCGTGGTCCTGGACGACCTTGGTTGCAGTTTCTATGATTGGAGCTAAAGATGTCGGGCCTAGATAAGGACTCCACAGTCATTACAACCGCGAAGTGCAAGACGACTAACTTGAGAAGTGGGAAACAAGAAGAAGATGGTACCAGAGAACCGGATGTGAGGGGCGATCTCTCTGTACCGCTGCAGCGCTTCATTGACACCATTGCATGCCCGTCCATCTCGGTAGAAGCTGAAGACGTGTTGATCATGCGTGGATGCTGAAAAGATGAGGAAGCTAGTGACTTAGTGAGGAACCATCATTATTCAGTAAGACCAAAGGCCCCGGTTGCTCATTGGTATTGTGGAACAAAGAAGAGCGGCGCGTAGCTCTTACTGTCACCGAAGCCGAAGCACGGGATCTGGTTGTCCTCGTCGAACCCCGATAAGGTTTTGCCGATGATGCTGATAGCTTGCTCGTAAGGGTTAGGAGGCCCTCCCAGGTGATGCAGGCTTCTCCCATTGAAACAACGTTTGCCTTAATTCCGGTTCATCAATACTAGAGTCAGTCATGCACTCGACAAAGAGCTTGATAAGCAATAGTGGTCCATGCAAAACACTGATCAAACGGTAGTGGCCGGTTTAATATTTGTGAATTATGAATGATAAAAAACGCTGCGTGTCCATTCGTTGCTCTTGGTGAAATCCACGCCGATGATGAGGTTGGAGGACTCGAGACCAGCCAGCTGAAGTGCCGCCTTCACCTGGATGTATGTTTTCAGTTTTCCCCAAGACACGCAGGCGATGTTAAACGACAGTGGTTGACTTCAATCTGAAATGAGCGAGGGTAATGGGCGAAGTAGAGTTCATCGTACCTGATCCAAGTTGTCGTAGTTTCTGTCTATCTTGGCGTATGGCCGTTGAGCAGGTGGTCCATGGCCTGCAGCTGCAGGGACGACCCTCTTGAGACGAGTTGTCCAGGCAAACACGGTCCAGAACAGTAGCAAGAATGTGGAGAACAACATGACCGATCTACCAGACCTACAGCTAGAACGTTGAATCGATGGAGCTCGGCGTGAGGAGCAGGCTTTCACGGTCACGGTCACCGAGCCCCTAGCCCCGTTCGCTGCTCTGAAACTTGGCTGAAACTGGCTGAAAACACTGTTCTAGTTGAATTGTCGTGGGAGAAAAACACTGTTTCAGCTGAAAAAAGAAGCCGAATAAACCGAATATGGGGTAAGCCGAACTTGGCCATACGGGGATGAAGCACATCGATTGGCCCGAGACGAAACTTCAAGGCAAAGAACCCTTTCGGTGGTACTAGAGGGGAACGCGGTGGATACGCTGAAACGAGTGAGGCCTCCGGTCATCGGGAGGTCCGTGTGGTCTGGTGCGGGGCGATGCGTACTGCGGTGCCTGCGACGGTGTGATTGGGTATTTGGGTCGGATGCCATGCCACCCCACAAGAAACCTGACAAGAAAGGTACTAGCAAGAAAGACAATTAGAAATGAAAGGTACTAGCAAGAAAGACAATTAGCATCCGATCCGTTTATACAGTACCTGACAAGAACTCAAGAAGCTTGTTGTTGGGTCTGGTGATTTTGGGTCCTGGATTAGCTAGCCAGCGCCAAAAGCAAATCTTGTCCTCAAATGAAACCTCAACAACAGAAACAGGCATCCTTGAATTGGGATAATCTGAATTATATGGTTTAAGATGCAACTCAAAAGCATGACCAAATTTTGTTTGCAGAGAAACATCTAACAAGATTTTGTTTGGAAGAAACATCATCAATACCTGGACGAACAAAGCAATCCGTGTGCCACGAGACAGACTTGACTTGACTTTACCTGCTCTGCTCATTCAGTGGCTCAAAAAGTCAAAATAATCATTCTGTGACATCCAACAGCAAGCAGGACAGCAGCTCAGAAATAGCTCCACTCTTTATTCCCACAAATAGCTTCTGAAATATCCAACCACATCTTTATCTGTGCACTCAAGTCAACTATCCACCTACAGAAACATAGATAGACTTCCTCTTTACAATGTGTCATCTACCTAGAGTAGCATATGGTTATCACACTGAAGATCAAGTGAGATCTGTTTCATCTTAAAATGGAACAATCTTGTCAAAGAATGGACTTCTCAGCATCTTCACTACTATATCCCAAGTGGTAACTTTTACAATTACACGGTGCCTTCCAGCACCTGTCAGTTTTCCGCAAAACATGCATCAACAAATTGGGAAAACATTTACACAAGAACGCAAACCAAAAACAAAATTCTACTGTTCCCCTTATCTAGTGAAAGAGCAGGATCTGTATATATCTGCAACCTGTATAAACATGGAGCACCTATATTATTAGGGGTTCAGATAGCTCCATCTCATTGGACGTCTGATCTGTCTCCACTGGAGGTAATCGCACGTAGTTCAGTCCCAACCACTGCCACGGCCAGCACATGTACCTATGGCCATTGCGATTTACCGAGTCGATTCTGTTATCTGATTCTTCGAGCTGCCTATTAAGCTCCTCCAGCCTCTCACGTAGTCTGGATGATCGCATATCTACTAGCTTTAGAGACTTCTCTGCAGCATCACGTGCGGCCATGGCAGCAGCAGCTGTCTCTTCCTTGAACTTCAGCTTGTTTTCTAGCTCCACCATAGCTTGTTTTGCTTCGTCCAATTCCTTGCGAAGGGATGATATCTGTGCAACAAACAAAGCTCTATTAGATTTGGCTTGACTAATCAGAAAGCGATGCTTCACCATCTTAGACAAACCATCCATTCCCTCGCACAAGTTGATCTATATATGTTTGCTTGAACACAAGTTCCAAAAGCCATGGCACTATATCAAAGATACAAATGGCTCTATATAAAGGCTCCCTTGCAGATTATTGTATGCTTCACACAGTTGTTATTAACTCATCGCCCTGCACTAGTAATGGAGCGCAGCATCTGCTGCCACCACTGACTGCACAAGGCCTTCCTTACACTACTACATATCAAGAGGCAAAATTTAGCTATATTGATGGGATAACTGCATAAGGCATCTAACTTGTTTCACACTGCAGTCATTTTCTACATTAAGCTGACAGTGCCATATCTAGGAATGCACTTAGGAATACAAAACAGTAATACCATTAAGTACAGAACTCCAGTTTGTAACAAGAATAGCAGAAACAACCTGTTGATGAATATACTGAATACAGCAACAAAAACATAACAAAGACGACATGAAATGCAAAGCAATAACATATGGTTTAGCATATCTAGATTTTATTTTTTCCCCCCTTTTCGATGAGAATCTATGCTAAGCACTGCAGCAGTCTTATGCTTGTCTCACACTCTCACTTATTACTTATTAGTATCCAGAACATGTATGCTCAGGGCAAATTGAAACATGTAGCAGAGGAAAATATGCTGAACATCCTTTTGCAGGAATAAATCTGTTAAATGCTATTCTCATGGATTAGAGTTATGCTATTCTAGGCATATTTGTGTAGGAGTTCACTGTTAATAAATCAAACATATATAAGTTGCAAAACTATTTGTGGTAGTTTGATTGCATATGGGACAAGCTAACTGTGCTAGAAGTTCCTCCAAAAGATATCATTCTGTCAGAACACTATGATGGAAAGGTGACAACATGATAGAATCACCAGATTTTAAGAGTAACCCCAATCTCCCAAAAAAACACAAAAATGGCACTGAAAGCATAGAGAATAAGAACTATATATATGGAATATGTTTGTATTAGAACACCTGAGTTTGGAACTCTTTCTCAATTGATCTACCAGCTTCAGCTTCCTGCTCTGCTGCCATCTTCCACCGCTTAATCTCCTCTTCAGCAGCTGTCACGTCCATCATCAGACCCTCAACCTGAAACAAGTGCATCAAAATGCAGTTAGCAGTTGATCATTGATCATAATCTTAAAGAGACTTAAGTGGTGTACTTGAGACGTGAAACTAGACATGGGAGAGAAACTTACGCTTTCATTTGCCACCCTTTCCTTCTCTTCAAGATTTTTTATTTGCTTTCTTAGCTGACCAATCTCCCTTTCTTGCCCTTCTAGCCTTGTTCTAAGTAAACCAGACTCCGCCCTTAAAGCCAGCAAATTACATATATGATCAGAAGCAGGAAGAAATTAACAATGGTTAAAAATATCCACAACATGAAATAGCAACACAGGAATATCCAAATGTTTTTCTTTTGTTGCAAAGAAGCTCAATAAGCATGTCCTAAAAAACATATGGTCAGTTTACACAACCTAGACAACCGCTCTTCCAAGTTCCAAGTTCATAAGTGATTCTATGTTCAACAGGTGGTGAAAACAAGAACTTGAAACAGGGATTTCTCTAACCCCTAGAACTAGGTCTGATCTGAAGAAACTTTGTTATGCAAGATATGGACTTCACATTTCACAGATCATAGAATCAAATCTCATCTGTCACAGTAACTACCTTAGTGCTTCGACAAGATGTTGGAGCTCAACAATCTTGACCTGAGACTCCTTCATGGTATTCTCGAGAGCCCCTGCCTGCAATGTTGATTGCATAACAAACAATTTAGGCACTATACAGGTTCAGGAACGGGCAATTCCATGTATGGTAACATCAATTGTACTTACCAGGGTATAGACCTCGTCCTTCTCCACACTCCCTGGCCTGTGCTCCTTTCGCTCGTCAAGTCCAATCTCAATGCCAGCTTCCCTCAGTCCATCCTCTGCAACCTTTAACACCTCACTGGTGGTTGCCTGCAGTGCGCTCCGGAGCAGCACACCAATGTGCTCCTTCTCTTTAATCAGTTCATCCACCCTGTCCTCCAAACGTCTCATCTTGCTCTCCTTGTCATCGATAGAAGCCCCGACCTTCTCCAGGGCCATTGCCGAAAGCTCATAGGCCAATTTCGTCCCTTCCAGAGACACCTTGAGGCTCTCCTCGACGTCAGTCTCCTTCCAGACAAAAACCGAGTCCGACAGGGCACTGGCAGCTTCGGCATCGACCAGCTTGACCACCTCCCGCATCTCGTGGTACAGCTTGGAGGTGCATCCGATCTGCTCCGAGAGCACGGGCCTCTGTGCATCGAGCTTCCCCTCGAGGGAGGTGATCCTGTCACGGAGCTCGGAGATCTCGCCTTCCCGCTGGGAGAGAGATTTGGAGAGGGATTCGCCCTCGGCAGACCTGGATGCGAGCGACGCCTCGAGCTCAGAGACCTCGATAGCGATCTGGTAGTTGCGGTGTTCCATCTGCTCCCGCGCGCGATCGCGGTCGCGGTTAGCGGCGTCGATCTGGGCGAGGAGGTCATCGACGATGTCGTTGGCGCGCTTGAGGACGCCGTACGCGAGGGCCGGGAGGCCAGAGGAGTACTTCTGGGAGGTCGGGAGCGGTGCGGCGGGGGCCGAGGAAGGGGAGGCCTTGGCGGAGATCCTCTCGAAGCCGGAGGAGAGCATGGAGGAGGCGGTGGCGGCCTCGGCCTGGAGCGCGGCGAGGGAGCGTGCGGAGGCGGCGGACTCCGCCTGGACCGCGGCGAGCGACCGCGCGGAGGCAGCGGCCTCGGCCTGGAGCGCGGCGAGGGACCGCGCGGAGGCCGCGGCCTCGGCGGTGAGGTCGTCGCGCTTGCGGAGCACGTCCTGCGCGAAGGCCTTGAAGCGGGCGACGCGGGACTCGGCCTCCGCGAGGGAGGCCTCGGCCGCGCGGCGGAGGCGGCGCTCCTCCTCGAGCTCCGCGGCCAGGTCCAGCAGCCGCTGCTGCGCCTGGGCATCGGACTGTGGCTGGGGTTGTTGGGCTTGCGGTAGGGTTTTGTGGGAGGAGGCGGAAGAGGTGAAGGGGGGTGGGAGGGGGTCCTCGTCGACGTCGGAGAGGACGGCGGCGTCGTCGTCGTCGGCCATGGCGTCGGAATTGGCCGGCTTTGGGCCTTGGCGGTGGTGATGGGGTGGGTGTCCCTCTGTCGTCGCGTGGACGGGAGGGTGTCCTCCTTGCCGAGCGGCGTCGCTTGGTCGGTGTATTGTATTGGGCGCGAGACGGGCACGGCAGGGTGGGAACGTGACCGGGCCCGGCTGACCTGATTAGTTGCCCCGCTTCGCTTCGGATTTATTTTATTTATTTCTCCGCGCACAAGACGAACTGCTCCGTCTCCGTTGGGCTGTTTGGACTAGTGGCACGGCGGCGAGTTGGGCGGACCCGATGCGTGCTGCTCCTTTCACTTTCTATGGACGGGTCGGTGAGGTCGCCGGCGACGGGGAAGAAAGGAGAAGCTGAAAGAAAGAATGGCAAGATAAACTAGAAATCTTCATCCCACGTTTTTTTTCTTTGGAAGTACAACGGAATATTCGTCTTGTATTTTCTGTTTGGGGAAGTATAGAACGGAATATTCGTCTTGTATATATAAGGGCATGTTTGGCATAGCTCTACTTCAGAACTCCAGCAACTCCACAAAAAAAAATTCAGCCAAACACCATAACTCCAAAACTCCATGGAGCAACCAACTCCATGGGGCTGTAGTACAAATGAAACTGGAGTTTTGGAGCACCTCTTTAGCTGCTCCAAAACAACCTCTTTTGAACCTTCTCATGGAGTTAGTGGGTAATTACCCACCAATGCCATTAGTTACACAAAAAATAACGTTTCAATCTATTCTTTCCGAGCCCCCACCCACGCCTCCTTTCCTTAGCCCCGCGCCTGTCATTGCCGCCCCCTCTCTCTCTCTCTCTCGGGGACGGCGGGGCGCCGGCTGCTGGTGAGTGCCAGAGAGCGCCATGATGAAGGGGCAAGATCGGCACCCAATGATGTAGGTCTTTGCTCCCACGCGCGCCCGTGGGTGCCGTGACCGCCATGTGGTCGGGGCCAAACCACCAAAGCTCCATTGGCCGCATCGGAGAGGTCCACTGGATGACGATTGGGTTGACGTCGCGGAGGTGCTCGTCACGCGCGGCGGCCGGGGGTGGCCTCACTAACGGCGCGTTCCTCAGCGTGCGGTCCGCGCCCGTCGGCAGCCACAGCATCTTCCCCGTCGGGAAGCTCTGGTCTGCATGCGATGTGCGAATTCTTCATATTTGTTCCTCTGTTATGTCAGCGATGCTTTTTTTATTTGTTTTTCCATTCCCGGATAAGGTAATCAGTTCAATTTGTACGTGATGGTTCAGTAATCTGCTCGATTGATTCTGTGCACGCTCCTGCGCTGCCACCGCCGGATCCACGCTCGGCCGCCTCCCAGATACGCGTAGTGTGAAAACTATCCGGTCCGAAAACTATCTAGGCGAAGAAGATGGGATAGGGAGGATAACAAGTGGGGCCTAAATTGAAGGGCAATAATGACAATCCACACCGAAATCGGTCTTTTTTTTTTTGAGCTGAGAGCACCTATCTAGCCAAACACCCCATTTTCGTTCTAGAGTTCTAAAGTGGAGCAGCTCTACCCAGAGTTAGAGCCATAACAAACAAGGCCATATAATAACTCCGATACTTCAGGAACTCTGCAAAAGTGCCAATACGCATCAGCAACGTCACAAACAAATTTATTTTCGTCTGCGACGCATGTCACAAGGTTGAGCCGATGCCGATCGATGCTCATTGCTCAACGAAACTGGTGTTGTATGAACTTGCAAGTTGCAACTTTATAAAGAAAATTTTGTACCAGTTGATTTAAGTTACACTTGCATTGGTATCCAACTGCAATCTTCACACACGCGCGCGCGCGCGTATACCAGACCGGCAGACCGGCTCTTTGTGATCTGCTACAATCTAGGTAGGCGGAGGCGGGACAGTGGGGAATTACACTTTTCAGTTACACAAATCACTCAGTCACAACATATAAGCGTCTACCAGCACTCGCGCCAAGTTGTCTTTTTTTCTTTTTTAGCGACCATCTGAATTCTCAAGGCTGTATCTCTTGCCTCTGAATCCTCAGAGCTCCCAATTGTCTCTGGATTTTGTTAGTTCCGCGTCAGATAAATGTGCCACAGCATCATCGGAGATGTCATGACGACTGGTTACGAGTGGTTTTTGCCGTGTCTGGTAAAGAAGACATGACTCAACGCTTCTTGAGCAGTCAACCTTGCCGAGGGCTCATAGGCTAGGAGGCGCTTCAGAAGGTCAATGAAGTCCCCAGCAGAGTGATCCACATGCTGCATCACCAGGTTCTGGATCAGAAACAAGTGAGCACTGTTAGAACGACAGATAAACAAATCCAAAAGATAGTAATACCAAGCCAAGGAGGGGACATTGAGTGCCATTGTTTGTAATAGCAAGGTGGGAAAGAAAATGAAAACCCAGGAGGAAGAATCAATCAGCCAAGCATCAGGAACCTTGTCACATTTACCTGAAGGCGAGGCAGTTTGAGAACAGCTCTAACGCTCTCTTTTGTTGTTGCTCCTTCTGGCCAGTTCAATCTTCCTCTTCTGACGTACTTCTCTGCATGCTGGCTGAGTTTACAGAAGGCAAACGACTAGAATTAGTCTCAAAAAGGCAGCATTAGGTACAAAAATGCCAACAGGTAACAAAAGCCCTACTCAGCTCTTTCCAGCATCTGCCGTGGAAGAGGGCCTAGAACTCTCTCCATCATTGCAAGGTGTTCCAAGTTCTCATGAGTCTGGAACAGTGTCTCACCCTATAAAATGAGGCAAATGATTTAATCAGACATGCACTTTTTCGATATCAACAACCAAAATTAGAGAAATACGTACCGAGCAAAGCTCAACAAGTATACAACCAACACTCCAGATATCACAAGGATAGCTCCATCCATGCCCTTACAACAGTGACACAAATATTAAGCAACTGGGCTCCACAAGTAATAAAAAAAGGACGTGTGCAATTAGGCAGCAACTACAGTCAAGTTCATACCCAAAATAACTTCAGGGGCTCGATAGTGTCTGGTAGATACAATGTAACTGCGATCCTGGTGATGGTATGCTGCGCTTCCAAAGTCAATCAACTTAATGGCATTTGATTTTGGCAGTTTCCTTGAGAATGATCCACCCTAGATTGAAAATTTGTAGTTAAGATAACTAGTGAAGCAGACAGCAGTTCAAGAAAAATTACAGTAGACAAGAGATTAAACTGAAGAGAGTGTTATGGGCTGGGCCTTAGCAGAGACAGCCATAAAGGTCCGAGCACACAAGCAGCAAATGCATGCAATTGATCAGATCAAGCTAGTTGGTTTATTAGTTTGCTTCTTAGCTAAGCAAGAGATAGACAGTGGATTGTCAGTCAGATGAGATCAAGATTGTTAGCATCATTTGTTAGGGTTAGCTCTATAAAAGAAGAGATGGCACATCACATTGAATAAAGTAAACAAGTTACACTTAATCATGTAGCGTAAAAGTACCTTGGGATCAGGTAACTTGACATAATCTGAAGAAACAAGGAGGATGTTCTCTGGTTTCAGATCAGTATGAATTAGCTGCAGACGATGCATGACTGCATGGAAGTAAAGGCAAATATCAGGATACACCAGAAAAAAAATGTGAAACCAAGTTACGAGTACTGGCATAAAAGATGATGATTCAAAAAGGCAAAGAAAACAGCATCAAATTAGCACACAAGTATTTGAAAAATATAGAATTAATTTTCTAAATAAAGGAAGGAAAAATATGAAAAAGCACTATCCATTGTATTTCAAATGTGTTACAAAATTTTTGAAGTCGAAATACTCAGTTGAAGTCAAAGAAGAGCAATACATCAGATAAGAAAAACAAAAAAATAAATAACAATCTTAAATAAAAGAAAAATTAACATATTCAAAGTTTGCAGGGTACTGTCTCTACACACATGCAACAGATTCCAAAAGTTGCTCTCCGATCTGGCGAACTAGATCAATTGGGAACGGGCGGAAGCCAGTTTTCTGCAGAAAATCATATAAGCTTGGGCCAAGCTTCTCGCAGACCTGTTCATTCATCGAAATTTATTGATTGATTTGACCCCAATGTCTACATGACAGGTTGGGGAAAATTCTATAAATCAACCATTATACTTACAATACAAATATGGCTACGATAGTCAAACCAGTTCCGTATTTGAACACAACTGCAAAAAGACTCATAAGGATGTAACTTTCCTCCATTACAGCAGCAACATAGTTTTTAAGAAAGGCCACAATTTAATGCACAGAACTTATCTCTTTGTTTTCATAATGGGGGCAAGTAAAAGTGTAACTTACTGTTTTCCTGCAGCATCATTTCTTGCAAGCTTCTGCAGGACATCAATCTCTATCATTGCTGCATCACTGTATTTCTTTACTGAGCGAACAATTTTAATAGCCACCATCTCTTTGCTTTCTCGGTCCCAGCATTCCAGTACTTGACCAAAAGTACCTATAAACAAATAAAAAGATATCAAATATCACAGGAAGTTTTGCTGAGTCACTTGCATCATAAAAATAACATGATGCTTCAGAAACTATAACAATGGCACATGTCTCTTGTACACGGGCACGCTTATTTAGTTAATCGGTGGCATGAGTGGGTGAGTTTTTGTTTGTTTGGGTTCTTCCCCTTTTTCTTTCTTCTTAATATAATAATACGCAGCTCTCCTGCGTGTCCGAGAGAAAAAATGGCACAGGTCCTTGAACTCACAATTAATAAACTAAAATTAAATAGTCTGCATTTTGCATGAGTACGTGATGGCAAAGAAATACTAACCTTCGCCCATTTTTCTGTATATCTTGTCTGCAAAAAACATAAAAAATGATATATTAGAATGGTGCCATTCCCACAAGTGCAATAAGTTCAGAACATTTATAGGAATACAAAAACAGACAGCCAATCACAAAGAGAAAAAAAAAGGATCTTATGTCGAGATGAAATATAACATTAACATCACTGGGAGCTATAAAATAAGTCAACATGGACGACATTGAAAACCTTAAACCACATAGATTAGAAAGCAAAATAAAACAAGAGCACCCAAGCAAGAAAATATTTTTTTTAAATGCCATTTGCTTAATGCAATAGTGTTCAAAAAAGGTTCCAAAAGGGTATGAAACTAAATAGATGTCCACTGAGGCATGATTGAAAAATAATGAAAAAGTTAAAATGGCGATATCCGTTCAAAAGAAAAAAAATGCTAACAGTACAAAGAAATCCACAGATTTTTAAATGAGTATAAGAAAAGGGAATGCAACTCCCAGAAGGATGAACATCACATGTCACAGAGATATTACTCCAATAGTGATAGTCAAGTGTAATTACAGCGAGAGGTCAAATTCTCTCCAACAGCAAATACGTAATGGCCATCTTTGTCGTCTTCTCTCCAGGGAGGGGAAGCATTTCGAGCCACACCCTTCGGGAGCAGAGATGAACAAGTATGGTCGGAAGGATTTGCTGATAATAGCAGGCTGGCCACATCACCAACTTCTTGCCCACAAAATGTTCCTATCTGAGCCTACACACATCCATCCATCGTTTTTTCATGCAAGAGAAAATATAGACAAATACTTCCCAGTGTGATGGTCACAGAGATAATTAAGCCACATAAGAAAAAAGGAACACAGAGGTGAATAGAACAAGGAATAGTATCAGTTATCACAGACATAATACATGAGAGATTATAGATAAGAACTTGAAAGCATGTAGTTATAATTGAAGAGAACATATTGCAAATTCTGCCCTTTATTCCATCCATACTTAAGCCCACAGGAGAAATTGAACTTGGTAAGCTACAAACTACTTGTATTAAGATGCAAACTTCAACAGAATACACACTATTCATAAATGCTAACAGGTGGTTCTTATTTGATAAATAAAATTCAGTTAGATCATAATCATGTAGATCAAGCATAATAACAATTGCAACAGAAGGCATTGCTGAATTATGTGAAACCACGTTCCCATTTAAGGTAGAAAGCATTTTTTTATGCTACTAATTCAGTCCAAGATGTTTTTCCATGAATTAAAACATAACTTAAAAGGAGTGATTGCTGACATACAAAAAAATCTAATATGTATTGAGCCTAAATTTGCCAGTATGTTAAAACAAACTATACGCAGCTCTAGGCATGCTCTCGAAAAAAAGACTAAGCATGCATGCTCTAGGTCAAATATAAACCTGGTCAGATTAAGCAGGCTAAAAAATTAGCAGCAGCATCAAGAACATTGGCATACTAATTTTGCAAGACCACTGTAAAAATTCTGTAGATCTGGGCTCTAATACAACACATAAACGACTAGATCTACAAGATCCATGTATCCGCGAATCATAAAAACAGGGTAATGACATAGCTAACGGAATAGGTGATAGTTGTATGCGGAATCGCCTCAACACATCGGAGAGCAGAGGAGTCGGTGAGGGGCGTTTACCTCGGCAGCCGGCGCCACGTCCCAGCCAAGCCTCGCCCGCTTGCGGGGACGGCCGGTGGCCAGATCGGCCGCGGCGGCAGCGCACTCCGTCGCCATCGCTGTTGCTCTGCTTAGCGCGGAGGAATTGGGGAAACGTCAGGAAGAGGTCGCGAAGGGAGGGGAAAACGCGCGAAGGGAACGGGGAAAGTGGAGGGGCGTCCGTTGTATGCGCGTCACGGGGGGCGGGGGGATCAGGGATTGGTGCGAATCGGATGCGGACACGCAGTAGGCCGGTAGCGTACGCGTACGCCTCCTGTGGTTTGACCAAACCAAACGAAAGCACGCACTGCGCCAGGATTCGTGCTTATCTTTATTGTTTTTTTAGTATTCCTCGGAAAAACAGGGCAAAAATACAGCATAGCAATCACGATCACCACTGCAATCAAATCTTACCACTGCAATCAAATCATGATTCTGTAGTTTGTACAATACAGTTGTAGTTGTAGTGTGTACAACACAAGAAACTGCAGAATAGACATGAAGGCTGTACACGTATCATCAACTTGATGCAATTCCACAAAATACCAAAAACGAAGATGGTGTGAACGCAATCATTTATTTTAGTTTAAAAAAAATCAAACCATCCATACAAGGGACTGAAAAGGAAACAATTTTAAGAGTACATGCAAGTTTGATCAGCCTCCTACGGTTGGACAAGGGCAGTATCAAAAGATGCTGTGAACCATGGCTGCGTTTAGTCCTTTCAATCCAAGCAGTAAAAATGTAAAATCCATGATTATTGTTAGACACATTCGTGTAAAGTAGCTGCAGCAAGGGGATTACTCGAGCATTCCTTAATAGAAACCAAGGACCATATGGAATTCATTTCATTATTGCAATCCAGTTTCAATGGAACTATGCCGCGGACAATGAAGTCAAATGAATTTTTGTGTGCTAGACAAACACTCTAATGGCTCAAAAAGGGATCTCAGTATCAGCCATTCTGTCAAAACCTACAAGCAGCAGCCTGTCAGGATACACTTCGACATGACCAAATGCGCTGGTGCCAGGAGGACACTCCAAGGCAGCCTCCAGAGTGCGGTGGTGCACACCGTGTGAGTCCACAGAGTGGCCACCCTTGTGGTCATGCCCGGCAAAGCAGGCCTTGACACAGTTGTACTGGTGAACAATAGCCATCACCTCGTCGTAGTTCCACATGAGAGCTGCCGGGGAAGATGCCCCGGGATCCATTGGGAGATGGCTGCATACGATGACATTTTGATGGTGCGTCGATGCGTCCTGGAGGACACCATTGAGCCAGGACAGCTGCTCCTTGCCAACTGCGCCATTGAACTTCACGAACCGCCTGTCGACGCCGACCAGACCATCAGGGCTGTTCTTGTCAGTGTTTGGGTTCTTCTCATCCAGGAGCTTCATTGCAGCTGCAGTCACAGGATGATCATTGGGCCAGCCGAGGCAACTGAAGTCATAAGCATCCAGAACAACAATTCTGAACCCGGGGCATGGCGAGAAGTCATAATAAGCACGATCAGAATCTGTTGCGATCTTAAGCAGAGACACCAACTGGCTGCGCGGAAGGTTGTACAGGCAATGGTTGCCAATCATGTGATATGTTGGGCCATCAAACTTGTCGAATTCATCAAGGACCTTCTGCACCGCCCACAACGATTTGTCCTTCGGGCAGTAGCCATCAATGATGTCGCCAAAATTGATCGAGAACTTGATGTTGCCTTGTTCGTTCCACCTGTCGACAGCACTTTGGAGGACGCTAATGCTGTGGCGGTAGTATCGTGGGACGCCGAGGAACGAGCGGCCATCTGGGATATCAGCATACTGAACATCAGCTATGACACCAAAGGAAAACAAGGGTTCCTTTGTTGATGCACGGGCTACTACTCCATTAGCCACAGCCATCCTCAGAACTTAGCTTGAAGGACCTTCAGAATAAACCAGCAACTCAGTGTGAGAGGAGACGATCCCTGTGCTCGAACTGAATATCGAAACAAGATCTGTTCAGAACTGAGAAATTATTGACCTATTTGAAAGAAAAAAAAAATGAAATGCGTGCGCACCTTAATTGGAAACCAAGAAGTTCAGTGGTGTCTACCGAGAATCAACTGAAACTAGCACGCTGAAGAGGAACAACTGAAATTAGCGCACTGAAGAGGAACAAATTGAACATGGACGAATGGATTGTGGATTAGTAGGCCACCACGTAGAAAACAAATTCGCAAATCACAACTAACTGAATGGAGAGAAATACAGATTTAGACTCAGCTTAGGGCAAAACAAACTCTTGGAAATGAGGAATTGATTCATATAAACAATGAAGCTGAGATTGTTTATATATACCAACAACAAAAGAAGGGAGCAGCCCACGTCCGAATCGATCTCCACTCCAACCCCACAGACTGACGGATTGGCTGGGTAAGGGCACAGGCGAGTAGGCGACGAGATGCGGCCGCCGCCAGGGGAGCCGGCGCGCGCGGGCGGGCTGCCTGGACTTCCGCGGATTCTCCGTCAATCCTTCCAGCGCCGCGCTCGCCGCCCCTCGGTCGTACAAAGTACAACCTCAAACTCCCGTCGCCTGTGACCCGTCGGTGGTTGTCTATAGGGGAGGAAGAGAAGTCTGAAACTGCGAGGGCCTTTTTGTTAGACAAAGCTGCCTGCCCCCTTGAAATTCAAATAGACCCTCTATTTTTTTTTTTTGCCGAAAAAAAGAAAGGAAGCTTAATTCAAGAGCGCTCCAATTCAAGTCCCTTTATAGAGGTTCTCAAATCTCTTTCCTCCATGGCCTATGTGATTCCCTTCTCTAAATTTTAGAGCTCTAAAAGCTTTAAAGCACTTTAGCTTATTTTTAAATTCTAAAGCTCTAATGTGAGGTAAACCGAAGTTTAGAGCACTACTTATTTGAAGGTTTAGCTCTAAAGTTTAGAGGAGGAAATCCAAACATGTCCTTAGGGCACCACCAATAGAGGCTAACACTCTTAGTTGTTCTAATACAAATAAAGTGATTCACATAGACTAGGAAATATTGATACTACTATTCACACAATGCAAACTATCACTACTTGTGGTTTGCATATAAACTTTTTGTTTTCATCATACCTCACATTTATTTCCCCTCCCTCTTCTATTTTTAGCATGGATCACATTCTCTCTCCCTAAGCATATGTAGCTTCTGCAAGCCACTATAACAAGTGTAGAGCGCCTATTTTTTTTATCTGATCCTACGTGGTCCTTGAGGCTATTAGTAAAAAACCAGCGTTGGGGAAGGCCTTAGCCCCATCTCTCGTGAATGTGTAGGAGCTTCCTACTTCTACTAGAAAAAAAATTATGCACCAACTCATTTCGGTGCGTCTTTTTATATCCCAAATATCTCATGGCTCGGGCCACCATCCTATTCCTCTGCCCTAGCATGACTTCCTCGATGAAGATAGCATGGCTCCCCTTCCCGCGTCCATCCTCCCCTTTATAAATTTAGTGATGAACATAATAAAACCACAAAAGAGTATATTAGCATGTTTATATTCCTCAAATGGGTGAAGCTAGTACCGTGGAACATACGACGATACATATTTTTTGTTATCTCCAATGCCCCATTTGGATGTAGATATTTGACCTCGGGATTTGGAATTGGTATTGTGAAGCTGCCAATTCCACTGTTTGGATGGCTAAGAATTTGGAATTGGAATTGGAACCCAATACCAATTGGTATTGGCTGTACCTGCCCCTCCTCATCTCCAATACCGAGCCCAACAGTTTCGTATTGTGTGGCATTCATCCCCTGACGCTCCAGACCCCGACACGACCCGGCGTGGAAGCCGCCCTAGCTACGCCGCTTCCTCCACGATGCCCCCAACGTAACACCGCCCAGCTATGTCGCTTCTTCCACGGCGCCCCCGCACCTGACCCTGACACAAAGACTGCCCCGCTACGCCTCTTCTTGCCTTCTTCCCCGACGCTCCTGCACCTAACCCCGACGCGGAGACTGCCCCGCTGTACCGCTTCTTGCCTTCTTCCCCGGTGCCCTGACATGGAGGCCCCCGTGCTGCGTCACTTCTTCCCGAAGCCCCTCGACACACCCAACCCCGACGACGCCCTTCTCTCTTCCCCGGTGGCACTTGTCTCTTCTTCCTTGGTGGTCCTCTTCTCTTCTTTCCCGGCGACCCTCTTTGTCTCTTCCTCGTGGCCAGCGCCCCTTGTTTTCCATGGTCGGGGTCGAGCTCCGCCATGGCCATGGCTGCTGAACCCGAGATCTGCCCGCCATTGCTGGGGTCGAGCTCCTGAAAGTGCATCTAGCCCTTTAGTGGGTTTTGGATGATTGAACGACAATATGATTAAAGGTCTAACCCGTTTGCTAAATGTGGACAGGTAATAAGTTATCTCATAGATGCTTAATGAAGCCAAAATGATATGTTATTGTATAAACAATCTAGTTTAAGCACAAGACAACAATGCAAATAGAATTCATGCAAAGGCTTATTTATTATGTGATTTCCATGTACTATGTGAAAGCAAGCACGGTAAGAATTAATTAATGAGACATGAGGGATTACATATGGAATGGTCTCATATTTGAAGCTTGCTAAATTGAAATGAAAAGGATAACAATACAAAATGAATAAATGATTCAACACAAGATGTGACTTGATAACTTGAGATGGTGAAGATAACGAGGAAACGTTTCGAGGTACTAAGCAAGGGTGAGGGGCAAGCGATGGCTTGGCGGCCGAAGAACCTAGCTAGGGTGAAGAAGGAAGTACTTGCATTTAGTTGAGGTACTAATCAAGCTATGATGGTCATGTTGATGTGGAGGATCAAATCACTATTGGAGTGTTTGATAGAAGTGACTTGATACATTTGGGATTATTCATATTTGATGAATGGAATCAAGTCACGTGCTCAAGATGTCTATGCTCAAGTAAAAAGATCAATATCGACATGTTGTAACCCTCACTTGATGAAGATTGAAAGACACGGCTTTAGTTAAAAGAGATCAACTCAAAAGGTTTAAATTCGTTATATATTTGAATTTGAGTTAATAGGAATGCCGTACTATTAAGAGGGATGCATCATGTTGATAGATGATTATTCATAAGTGCTCAAGCCAACCTATGTGAGGTTTGAGTGAAAGAGAGAAGAGAGAAACTAACGTTTTTCTGTGACCGAGCATACTAGACTATGCATACCGGACGTGTCCGGTATGGTAGGGTCACTCAGGTGTTTCTCTAACATGGTTCGTCGGGAGTTCGACGGTCGGGAGTTTCGGCAATCATCGGGAGTTCCGACGTCTCACACCTAACTGATTTGGAGAATTAACTGCCTGATCACACCGAACGTGTCCGGTATTCTACCGGACGTGTCTGGTATAGTAGGCCAGAGCCCAATAGGTAGTTTTCAAAGGAGCCGAGGGTCGGGAGTGTTGACACCAATTTTGGCATACCCAAAATGTGTGAAAACATTTATAGCATATTAAATAAAATGGTATAGATGATCAAGTTTTATATGAATATGATATAGGCAAATAAGGAATAATATAACATCGCTAAAGAGGAAAAGAAGATGGAGCAAAAAGAAAAAGGAGACACACATGTACATATATGCATGAGCGTGTTCACGCCTTGACAAATAAACAAAAGCACGGCAATCACATGTCCCATAAATACACCCGGCCGTAAATACATACACGCATATACATACACATGGGTTAATCAAAACATGGCCATGCAAGTACGTGTGTGGTATGCATACAAAGAAGCGTATATCACGTGACGCAGCCACGCCGCCGTGAAATAAGCTATTTCCTATTCTCCTTAATCACTTGATTAAAGAATAAACAAATGGTCCAAATGCCGCTTGCCGGGCAAGGAGGCAGCCTCCGAGGCGCGCTTTACACATTCAAATAGAGTCAAGCGCGGTCATGTCTCCTATTATTCGCCGCCGCGAGACCGGGTCATATGCAACTTCCACGTCCCCGCGATCGATCAGCAAGGCTCAGCAATTCAAACAAAGGCGCCGCGCCCGATAATCAAATGAAAAAGAGCGCCAAATTGTCGAGGAACGGCCGCTCGCTCTGCTTATAAATAGCAGGCCACGGCGATCATTCAAGACCCCGCCTCCACACATCAAGGTGCCGCCAGTTGCCGCCACATACATACACATACACCGCTCTCCGATCACAAGTGCCTCTCTGGCTGCCTCTCGCCGCATCACCAGAGGCGAAGCCTCACGACGCCGTTCTCGCACTGCACGGTTGGAGTTTCAGGGAAGGTGAGAGGCGATCATGGTGTTCATCCGATTTGCTTCCTCTCTCTCCATCTTCACGACTTCACGGTGTTTCGGCGGCAACCAAATCTTTCAAGCAACTTGTCGTGCCTCGGTATATACGGTTGGCCTATGTCATTGCGGATGGGCAAGGTAACGAGGTCTTACCGGTAAAAGGTAAAAGAAATGGTGATGGCTGCGCTGGCGCGTATGGGCTACAAGCCCGGTAAAAGGTCGTATGACAAAGGTTACACGACCGCACTTTTGCGCATGGGCGATATGCTCGGTGAAGGTGTAAAAGGCGCAAATATGCCTCGGTGAAATACGGGTTTGGATGCGTTTCGGCTTCATCCCATGGTTGAAAATTGGGTGGACGCTTTGGCTCCACCCCGGTTATGTTCATGGTAAATTTGATATGGACGCGAATCGGCTCCATATCTAAACAAATCTACATGTGTTTTTTGTACGCAACGCCGCCCGTTCTTATCATGCATCAAAGAAAATAAAGAACTTGCATGCTACCGCCATGAAGAAAGATTATGCATGGGTTTCTATCAAATCAAAGAAACAATCATATGTGCAAACGAAATTATATAAAAAACAAGACATTGACAATGTTCGCATATTGGTCCATGCATATATGCCTT